TGAAGGTAGCCGTGTTTAAAATGTTTAACTTTAGCAACTCCTGAGTCTTTATAGATTGTTGAGTGGCTTACTATTTTCATTGTCTGAAGCTTGTTTGTTTATTGTCTCCCTTCATCTCTCTTTATCTTTCACCTCTTCCTATCTGCTTCCTCTCCACCCAGGTTAACATGTCCAACATAGACCTGGTCATGGAGTCTGACATGGGGACATTTACCCCTTGGCTCTGCAGTTTAGTGGCAGCGATGCAGCACGAAAGGTAGGCTTAAAGACACATAACACTGTCACACATCATCAGTGTTTATTCAAGCTTCAAAGTCTGAATTCTGCAAGGTGGCATAAATTAATATCCAGTCCAGTGAATGTGCTGTTTTTCCTCCATCTGTTCCCTACGTCACATTACCCCTACCTTCAGACCATTGCTTCTTAGATAGGATATTTAAAATTAATCTAAACATTAAACTTCCCATTTAACCTCAGTGTAAACTATGTTGCACCTTTGCTTAACCACAGAACTACTCTCTTTTTTTTGGTTGTGGCACTGTAACATCTACTAGGTTAAGTGGTTATGGGTTTGTAGTGTGGTTTAAGACAATGCACCTGGAATACAATATTTGAAATAATGTTGAACAATATTTGAAAACCACTGGCATATAACAGATGGTAGGATGAACTGAAAAGCACTTTGCTGTGTCTGTTTCAACAGGTGATGGAAGAAGTGGTCAAACTGTTGGCTCCCATTAATACGACCAAACTGGAGACACACGGAGAAGGGACAGATATCTCACCGTGGATGCAGGCAGGCATACCAGGTCAGTTCAATCATGTCCGTTATAAAAACAGAAATGGTTGAAATAGGAAGTAACTCATACTTATTTCTGTGGTTCTGGTTTTAATTACCTCTCCTTTCTCCTGAAAGTTCTTTGTACACAGAATCACATCCTCATTGATGAACTGTGAACATAGTAAAGTGTAAGGAAATCAGGTCAGCTGAGTCAGTGAACTCTTTTATGTCCCTTCTTAAAACATACTTTTATAGGAGAGCCTTTCCCAATCTTATTTGACTTTATTTTATCCCTTTTATTTTATTCTATTTTACTAATTTTGTATTTATCTTAAATGTGTATTTTAGTCATTTCAATGTTTTCTTGCTTTTATCTTGTTTTGTTTTTGTATTATTGTCTTTTGGGTATTATTGTCTTTACACTTGTTAAAGCACTTTGTAACTTGTTTTTGAAAAGTGCTCTCCAAATAGGGATTATTATTATTCTTATTAATATAGGGAGGTGGGGGCACATTTTCACTTTAAGCGAAATTTCTTAGAAATCTGAATTAAAACTTTTAGATGTTCAATGTGTGGATGGGACGTTTTCTAGTAGAATCTCTGACCCAGACTGATGTGACCAAATGTACAGAGACTTTTTTAATGATGGGTACATAGTGTAGTGTACAGTAGGACTATAAACACAAACTGACACAACAAACAATGAAAGAGGAATAAACAAGAAAAGAGAAATAAACATAATAGAATTGTGTTGTATGAGATTGCACAAAACGAAACCAGTGTAACTGTATTAGTATTGCATTTGCTACTTTAAAAAAAAAGATTGCTGGTTAGACAATTCTGATTTAACAAAGATCAGGCTTTACAAAGACTGCTATAACACATTTTTAAGATTCCACTGATTTAAAAACCCTGAAAACATATTGAACCCCCAACAACGTGGCGCTTAATATCTTACAGTGTGTTTCTATCTACGTGGCTTATACAGAGATTTAGTGGTCCAAACGTTCTCTCTGCCTCTCTCTGTTCTAGTTTTTGTAGAAGTGAAATTGCAATGTACACAGAAAGATGTAACCTTTAGAGGTGGAACTGAAACAAGACATTAAAACATACTGTTCAAGCATTCCAGTAGTGACAAGAAGAATCAGTGAGTGCTACGGCCTTCTTTATCATATATTTAACAGTTCCAACAGAGCAGCTGAGGGATTGGTTGTAGGGCTTCAGCAGAACTTTGTCTGTTCGGGGATGTTTTTAAAAGCCCTGTTTCTCTGCTTTAAGGGCTTTTACTGTGTTCATTAAAGTAAAGAATGTTCGATAAGCCTGCATTAGCAGCGAATAGCACCATTTCAGTGGGACAGAGGTTATGGTCAAGCTTATTATCACAAGTTGGAACAGCACCTTTTTCCGTGGAACTTTTTATACATGTTTTTAGCAGTCGTAGCTGTTCAATTCACTAATCTGTCACTCATCAACTCCTCTCCATGAAGAGATTTCCAAAGAGGTAATAAGAAAAAAAATCCGCAGTCATGTTAAATTGTCTGGTTCATGAATTACCACGGAGGAGCTGCATTCTCGAGGGACTTCCTCCTTTACTGTCAGGCTGAGTCGAGGTCTCTTGGATGGTCTCTTTATGATTGTTGGTTGTAGGAACAGTAATGGACTGTCCAGGGGGAAGGTCAGGGTGCACATGCCACAATCTCTGCTAGGCACTCTCGCCTGGGTACCTTCAATGCACAGACAAAGAAGTCAGTCATTCTGTCAGTGATGTCTGATTTGGTAGTATGAAGGAGCTATTTTAATTAACTAAACTGAGCAGCAACAAAATAATCCACTTAAAACAAGTTAAAGTCATACATGACTTGGTGATGAGCAGAACTACAAACCTGTACTTTGGACAGATGTCTTTGCAGGGTCCGTTTGGGAGGCCACATGTCTTAAAATAGGCAAGTGAGATGCTCTGCCATAATTGCCCTAAATGCGGGGGAAACAGTGACACTAAATCCATCATCACAATTACATGTAAAACAAATTAGGAGCTAAACACTGCACAACAGTGTGGCAAACTAGGGTCTGGACTGTATGTCGGACACTTAAAATATTTATGTTATACCAACAAAACATGTAACCAATTGAGTCTCTGTTGTTCCTATAGATGTATTACGTTAAATCTCTCAGTGGTTACCGTAACTATTCTCATATACTAACGTTGCTTGTAACGTTACTTTTCAGGAAATTCACATAATTGAAGGTTCATCATTATTTTAGTGTTCCTACCAGCGGTTCTTAAGTTATACCTCTGTCGAATATCGGCGTTGTATCGCTGCTGATAAGTTCGCCTCTGTTTCTGCTGTGAGTTGGTAGACTTGCCATTTTTTCAAAATTCCCAAAGCCTCTTCCACCCTGACAAACTTTCGGTAACACATGACACAAATCCTGCTGGAGTACACCCCGTCCCTTCTCTGAAAAAAGATTCCCACATCTCTGAACCGCTCGTGCAACGGCTTTTCTCTAGGGTTCACGATGTACAGATTTTTGGTGTTTGAAATCACTCCTTTAAACATCAAATTCTTTTGGCACAGTCGACATGTATGGTCGACCGACATTGCACACGTTTGTTTAGCTGCTCCCGTTAGCAACCACGCAGTTTTTGCGTCGACTGAAAATGACGTGGAAGATACGCTACGCTACGTCACTCACACTGATTGGATGAGTGGTTAGGGCTTGATTGAAAAATACAACTCATGCAAGTGTAGGACCAAAGTAGAAGGTAGATTCATTTGTCACAGTACAACTGGTTATAGAGTGAAATTAAGTTTGTAACTCTCTTCTGCTACGTAGCTGATAATATACTGTTATAAAAGCAATTATAAAATGGTAGACAGAAATAAACCATTTCAGTGGAGCAGTGCTGAGGATGAGTTTGAGTTTAAAAGTCTCATAGCTTTGGGGGAAAAGCTGCTTTGCAGTGGTGGTGCGGCAGCAGAAACTCCTATATCTCTTCCTAGACTGGCTGGGGTGGGTACTGTCCTTTAGTATCCTTTGGGCTCTGCGTAGGCACCTCACCTCACCGGCTGCTTGGTAGATGGGTACCGATGATCTTCCGAGCAGTTTTAATTACCCGCTGCAGAGCCCTCCGTTCCTGGACCGTGCACAACATTCAAGGCTTTAAAATCAATTCAAAAACTCACATGTAACCAGTGAAGGGCCGCGAGGATTGGTGTTATGTGGTCACTCCTCTTGGTGAGTTAGAAGCCTGGCTGCAGCATTTTGAATGAACTGTAGTCTATGAATGTTTACCAGAATACAGAGCATTACAGTAGTCCAGTCTCAAGAAGATAAAGTATCAAACACTTGAATATAAAAGTGTAAATCTTATAATCAATTATAAAATGAATAAAAATGGATGGATAAAAATGACTGTAGTAGAAGAAAAAAAGGGTCTGGGACGTGTGTTTGTAAATAGATGTTACCCTTATAAACTAAAAAAATATGTATTAAGTATTCTAGAAAGGTGTCATTCACATTGTCATTTTGAAGGATAAAGGGTTGCATAACAGTTGTGATTTTAAAAACATAGAAACCCCATAGTTATTTCATGCTGAACAAAAATAAATGCAGATGTCCAATCACCAGAAAAATAATTGGAGTTATCAGAATAGATATGGCGCCTCTAGGATGTTGATAAGTTGACCCTTTTTTGTAGTGATTAATTGAGCGTTGTATGTCCTTGACTCAAACTAATGATGGCGTCTTCGTCCCAGTTCCTGACCTGTATTATTCCAGCAACATGTTTATTTAACAGCCTTCCTGTTTCCTTATCATGCCAATATGTATGCCAGCCAGACATTTTGTATATGACCTTTTGTTATTTTAGTGTTAAACTCAGAACCACATGTCTGTGATTTCAGGGACTGTATTTCTCATAATCTAAAGCGAAACTGTGAGTTGATTACAAAATGGATGGGCGTAAAGTCAATAACTCTACTTACAAGTAAGGTCACTGTAGCCTTAAGATGCTTCTGGAAAACGGGGTCCTGACATTCCCTCCTTGGAGCGTGGGTACATAATATAATTCAGTAAACACTAAAAGTAATGACTATATAAATATTATAGAAATTATCAATATAACAGAACATTGTTTTATTAAGACACATCTACTGAACCTGTATTTGTGTTTTATATTTGTTGACAGTTTACAAGTCAATTGTAAAAATATAATTTTCAAACAGTCAACTTTCTGGCACACTAGCTTCACACAAAAGCTATATTAAAATCTGTGTGGAAACTTTTAGCCACCGTTTCTTAGACATCAATACAACCCAGTTAATGAACCAACTTGAAGCCGTAGAAGGGACACTCGTAGAGCTGAAACTGAACCTTACTGTCAAAATAAATACCCCTTAATTTCTAATGTACATCTACAGACCAGCATTGTTATCAATCCAAATGTCCCTTCCTGTCAAATCAAAGATGTCACTGGTGTTTTTACCTGTTCCACAAGCTGATGTGAAATTACAATCCTTTGTTTTGCAGTAATGGAGAGAAACTGTACCAAGATCATAGCAGTTTTCCCCTCATGTTTTTGATAGTGAAGATAGGTATTTATCTGATTCCTTTTTAGTGGTACTGGGAGAGATTAAATGGTCCAAAATCTTAAGTGATGTTACATTGCACTCAGAAAGACACTGTGGTATCATTTGTAGAGGAACTCAAAAAAACAAAAACAACATTACAATTTTCAGCCAGTTAGATCACAAGCACAGAGACTTATTTGCCTAAAGACATTCAGTGAGTTATCTGTTATTTAACAGTTCTACTGGAGCAGCTGAGAGATTGGTGTCTTGCTCAAGGGCACGTTGAAGGCAGTTGTCTTGACAGATGTAATCTTTTCTGCATACTTTCTTTGTTCTGGCGATATTAAGACATGTGTACCGCCATGTAAAAGGGGGAACCAATATGAATCCCGATTACTAATGTGGTATACAAGCACCTTGTAACTGCCAACACTGTTTCATGGCACTTGTCGTACAACATAAACATTTCAGTATTCTTATTTGTTCCATTAACTAGTCTGTCATTCACCAATTTCTCTCCATGAAGAGATTTCCGTGAAAGTAAAGAAAAAAAAGCTGCTGACCCATGTCAGTGCCCGTTATGTTGAGTCCTCTGGTTCATGAACTACCATAGACAATCTACATCCTGAAGGGCCTTCCTCCTCGTCTGAAAGGCTGAGTCGAGGTCTCTTGGATGATCTCTTTACTGTTGTTGGTTGTAGGAACAATAGTGGACTGTCCAAGGGGAAGGTGAGGGTGCACACTCCATAATCTCTGCTGGACACTCTCGCCTGGGTACCTTCAATGCACAGAAGAATTTAGAAATGTTGTTAGTTGTGTCTACAGTGAATGAGCAGACATTATATTGAGTAAAAGCAAAAACTGAAAAACTAAATAGACCTTTACTGCGGAATTGATTCTGCAGAGTTTTCATGGATAGCTGTGTGCCGACTGATTTCCTCTCTGGGGGGTCAGTCTGGGAGGCCACGTGTCTTACAGCAGGCAAAGTGCTGCCATCGGTGCCCTAAACAGTGACACAGCAAATAGATGGATCGACCATCACACATATTTAAAACAACACATAATGAGACAGAAAAACTGTACAAAGTTATGATATTGTGAGGAAAAACAAACCTCAAATTGAGACATCTTTTAAGTTAAGACTATCTCCTGAAAAGGTTTCAAGTATTAAATGCTTACAGAGTTGGGCTGTGAGGTGAAAGACGAATAGGTTTATGCTATGGGTTGAAAGGAATGGGGAAAGCAGATACGATTGCAAAGTCAATTTTAGAGAAACAAGCAATAGATGTTATTTTATCCTTTGGCAGGGTGTAATTGAGACACTGCGTTTAAAAGTGGGAATTGAAAGGGCAGTGTCAAAAGTAAGAAAATTAAATGAGGGAGAGACATTACTGTTTTGTCCAAGTTTTTGTTAAATGGTGTAAGATATTTAAGCCTGAACAAAATGGAGTTTTTGAGCCCAATACCGATTTTAGAGGGAAAAATTAACTGGCGGCCGATATAGTGAATATTTGAGCTGGAATGAAAATAGACCTTTTGTATGTGTATTTTGCACAGATATAACAATGCAAAGGTAGTTAGAAGGCTGCTTTCTTAAATAGTCTTTAATCAAATAAATTTTTTAAGTTAAATATTCTTAAACATGCTGAACATTTTATTTATACTGGGCATTTTAAAGATGGATCTTTTAATAGATAACAGTTCATTTTAATAAATATGATTTATTGTACATAAAAATATTGATATATAAAAAGCAGTAACTATAGCTGTGAAATAAATACACTGTTGTAAAAAGTACAATATTTCCTTCTGAAAAGTAGTGGATTGGAAGTATAAAAGTAGCAGAAAATTCCTAAGTTGTACTGAAGTATAGTACTCTCTACTAAACCATGTATTTTCTACTCTGTCAAGCTACCTATGAGATTCATGCTACAGCTTTGTTCCCATCCATTATTTCAATGGATTGAACTCCAATCACCTTTTTTTTCTTGCTAATCAAAACATGTAATCTTTAGCAGTATTTTGCTGTTAGTGTACAACACTGAGTACAATAAGCTTGTTGTCCTGGATGGGGATGTTGTTTATTTAATTTCCAGCACCATCTTACCATAGTTACATTACTTGCTGTGTTGTTGTTAGCTTCTGGATGCTTATCAAAAGTTACACAACATTGCCAAGCAAAGTAATTCCTGCAGATTGACCTTTTATTTTTTACTAACTTTACAATAAAACAACACAAAACTTTGCACAAAACGTACATCTTGCACGTTTGAAGTGGAATCGCGGACAGTCGGTATCGATCCATCCTTGAGCCTCAACACTGACGCGAACCCAGCTTCGTACTGACCCACTTCACAAAGCAGTCTGTGGTGAAATGGTTCGCGCACACATACAGAAACCGTGCAGTCGTTGAGGGGACATCTCCGTTGAAAATAAAGTTAATCCAACTGATACTTGCTTCCCCGGATGACGGGAGTCCCAACAGTGTGCTGTGTTGGTTGTTGCAACCAACTACAGAACAATTGGCGTGCTTTGCTTTTGCTTTAGACATGTTAGCTACTAACTACATAGGTAGTTTACTCTGACTGACTGCGGCTTGTTGTTGTATTTCCTCTTCGGCGCGCTCCTACATCATATTGTTCGTTGATCTCATTGGTCGAAGGTAGCTCGTGACGGCGATGGACAGATGGTTCATCCAATCACCTGCCAAGTATTTTTGACAGTGCCTGCCTTTTCCAAACAGGTTCCAAGACAACTTCTGTAGCGTCAGGTTAGGTGTACACGACAGTAGTTTTTCCTCAGCTTCTTGTGCCGACTTTATTGGCGACACAAAGTTATTGTTGGTTCTCACTGGTCCGTGATTAGCAACTTCGTCTCCCCGTGGCTAGAAACATAGGGCCAGACCATCGTCGCGACCCGATGCTAACCGGACTGCGCTAACGTCGCTTGTGCTGTTGTCAGGAGCTAACGTTAAGCTAACCAGACAGATTCGCAAATGCGAATTAACTGGGAGTTAATGAACCCATCCACTTTATCTAATTGTGTTTAACTAACAAACACAATTGATTTAGACAATGTAGGTTGGTCCACACACACTACATGTAACGTTAGCCACGTTACCTTAATCTATCCCTTAGGACTGTTTACAGTATTCTTACAGGTTCAGATTTTACAGTCGGGACCGATCCTTCATTGAGCCTTCATTTTGAAGCAAACCCCGCCTGCCTCTCGGACACGCATAACATTAGCTCTTGGTCGTAATGGGAATGTTGCTATTGATGCGGTGATGGCGCAATGGATAAGACGCCTGTCTTTGGTGTGAGAGATCCCGGTTCAATCCTCCACTGTAACCAAGCCACCATTGTGTCCCTGAGCAGGACACTTAACCCCTCGTTGCTCCAGAGGCGTGCGACCTCTGACATGTATAGCAATTGTAATTCGCCTTGGATAAAAGCGTCAGATAAATGTCACGTATTAAAATACGTTGAAACCACTGTTGTTTAAAATCTACAGATGTGTGAACACATTCATTTTCTATTTTGCAGCCAACAAGTGCGATTTTTGGCTCTTGATATTTCCAGAGAGGCCTGTAAATCATGTTAAATGAACAAAGTGCTACAGTCAGTTTGTTTTGTGTCAGGAGCCTCACTCACCCTTGTCACTACTTTCGCAAGTGTAGGGACAGCATCAGGATTTAGAAGAAGCTGCTTTCTGAATCCCATTTCCACCTCTGCATAGTTGGTGAAGCACTCGCGCGTAAAGTGGAGATTGCACACGTAAACAGAAGCGGAGGGTATGTCGACCCGTCCCAGAGCATGCAGCCAGCGGTGTGCCATCTCTCTGTCAGACGGCAAAGAGTGCAGCCCCTCCGTGCTTTTGCACTCGGGATAAGCGCATTTTCGACCCATGTTTGACAGTCTACAACAGGAATAGCTAACCAAGCTAAAAACAAACTTCAACTTCTTCTGCCTCTCGATGAACTAGCAGTTGGCACAAAAGTTATTTTTAATTTACCACCACCTACTGGACCGGAGTGTTGAGTGGCAGCAAAAACAAAAGCCTTTGACAAAACAGTCCCAACTCAGTGTTCACTTACTAGCCGTTTCCACATCTCGTTAAAAGTTAATCAAAATTAAACTATGGGTGACTCTACTCTACATATCATTTTATCTCAAACAAGTAGATTTAGTATAAATTTTTGCTTATAAACTAAAGCTCCAGTACACAAGTACATGCCAGAAAGTAAAGGTTATGTTTCTGTCGATACAGTGTTGTAAATAATGATTGTTTCCTAATACATCAGGAAACCAAAGCAGGCCCAGTTGTCTAATTGAACACATTGATAAACAGGTTGAAATAGAAAGGTCACACTCTCCACCAGTGCTGATTAGTATTTTGTTGCTTTCGACCTGCAAGGTCCACAGCCTCCATGAGTTATTGTTAAAAGAAATTTAACCACTCCTTGTATTATTCAGACCCACTTTCCCCTGCCACAGAAATGTCCTGGAGGATTGAACCAGATGCAATAATGATATGTCTTTTCACATGTAAAATGTAATTGTTTCCAGGATTGTTTGAACAGTCGACTCTTTGTGTATCAAACATGTACCGTTTAGTGGAACGATTTGTACTTTATCTCTCTTCTCCTTCTGTCAACCAGGTGCTAGCCTCCACGTTGCAGACAGTCGGTACTTTTGGTTCCACCACAGTGAAGGTGATACCATGACTGTTCAGGACCCTCACGACATGGACCTGTGCTCAGCATTGTGGGCCGTGGTTGCTTATGTCGTGGCAGACCTTCAGGACATGCTGCCTAGGTAGCAATGTGAATGGGATGACAGGATGTTCACTGTAAACCACAGCTGGATCAGTTAATTCCTAAACACATGGTCAAATACAAATTTCTTTTTTTTTTTTAACTTGCGATGGAACAGATTGAGTTAAGAAATTTTTGTTAATAAATTCAATGTGAATTGTCCTTGGATACACAAGTGAGTAGAGGGAGGATAAAAAAAAAACACTATTGACCACTAGCAGTTGCATATCATCATCACAAATGTTTTAGCTAAATAACAGTAAACTGACACATGAACAGATGTTACAGTCAAATTGAAGCGTTAGTAATCAGTTTGTTTTTAAATGAACACCCAATAGATTTACATGCGGTTGTAGCTCAGGGCAGTGGCATGATCATCTTAAAGTTTGAAGTAACATAATAAAGGCTTTTATGATCATGATACATAATGACTTAAGATTTTTTTAGAAGAGAAGAACCTATTATGTGTAGAATGACTGATTGAATGAATGATTTTTTTTTCCCAAGTAAAAAGCTGATTTTCAAATTACTGATAAGACCAAGAAAATTAGTGGACATTCTCTAGTGCTGTTGTTGTCTTAATGCCTTAATATAATGTGCTGCAAAAAGGATGAAAGGTCTGTGAAAGAGTAAAAAATTAAACAAAGAATTAGAAAGTCTGGAAAAACCACATTCAAATGTGTAATGTTTCTGCAAGTTTCCAGTGATGTCAAAAATAACCTGATCTTTAAAAGTATATGTTTTATGGTTTTGACCTTTTTAGATTATTGTGGTGGAAGTTTGATGTATTATAAGTCCTGCCTGAATTAACCATGACCTCATTTACAGCATGTTCTGTAAGATTGTATTGACAAAAAATATTTGCAGTGTTGCAATATAATCAATAAAGTATTAATCATTGTTTCCACCATTACTCCCATCTGCTCTTCTGCTGTAATACTTGATCATGTCATTTCTGTGAAAGTAGTAAGAGGAAGATGAAAGAAGAGACATCTAGAAAGGAGAATCAGGATGATGGTGGGTCAAAAAAAATAAGATCATACAGAGGAGGAGTGAAAGTAAAGAGAATTAATTATTTTGTGGGGGCCGTGCAGCAAACACACACACACAGCTGGGATCTCTACCCGGTGAACTGATAAGTCAGCAATCCTGAGGGAGGGGTGATGTCAGAGTTAGTCAGCCAGCCAATGCAGATAAGTCATTTTGGGAACGGATGTGTGTGAGTAGGTGTGTGTCTGTGTTGAAACAAAGCTGTGTTACTTTAGGCAAGTGTCTACTGAGCTCTCCCCCATGCGTCAGTAACACTGCAGACAGTTGTGTTAGAGAAGAAACACATGGATGTTAAACACTCAATGAGTCACACATAAGTACTGTTAACAGGATCTGTATAAAACTACATGGACGCATTAGACAGACACCTGTCAGAAATTACATTTAAATTCCAAGCCAGGATTCTTTTGATAAGCTCTGGATCTCCTATATGAGATTTTAGATTAACGCAACTTTTTTTTTTTAAAACTGCAAACACACATTGGACCCCTTTAGCAGCCAGTATGGAGATCCTGTTTCTACTATCTACAGATGGCAAATATTGTGCAACGCAGTAAAGTAAAACATTGGATTAGCAACTTTTAACCAAAAGAGACACACCACAATGTTTTATTTCGATTTCATGAAAGCTAAAGTGACAAACCCATTCCCTTTCTGATCTATTTTAACTCCTCTGCTTTGTCACTTTTATTTTTATCTCTTGCCTTTTTTGTATTATACTTGCATCTTTTAAATGTACTTCTATGTTCATAGAATTACGTTTCACCAAATGCACCTTTTTGTGTGATTTGAGTTGAACTGTTTCTCCTGTAAATAAAATGTGTTAAAGCAGCTGTAACGAGGCTGTGAACAATCAGGCAGAGGTGATTTTGGAGTCTAACCTACATGTCAGGCAGTACATACCGTTTTATCCATTCAGTGTGTGGCATTCATACTGAATTTATCAGCATAGGCCACCATCTTGTGGAAAACCTCCAGCACAGCACCTAGTAAGTCCCTGTTTGTGTCCAGTTCAGGTTAAACAAGGGCAATAAGAGACTGAGAAAACCACCTATGTGATAATATTATGAAACGTGTTTTATTACAAACATGTAGCATTTTTTTTACAGACAAAAGCTGAAATAACAAAGATCAAGTTTGAATTTTAAGTAATTAATTTTATCTTACACTTTACAAGCCAGCTGGTCAAACTGCTGCAAGATAGCTGACTGAGAAATACCTTCTTCAATAACAAGGCATTTTTTATTATGAATGAAAGAACTTTCAACAAAAGTCACTGTGGGAATAAACACAACCACATCCATTTTCAATTGTAAAATTCATTACTTGATAGTGGACATGTTCATGTAGCCACAGGCCTTCTGGAGTTGAAGACCTTGATCCCATTTTGCATTGAAGATCGAGCATATTTGGTCAGCAGGGCTCCGGTAGTCTGTTTCTCTCCACACAGGTCCCTGAGCGATGAAGTATTACAAGTTATAATCCGATAGCTAAAGAAATTTCACATGATTTATTTCTGCGCTAATATCAACAAGACAAACTCATGTGCCTTTACTTAATGATAATTATGATAAATTCCTAAACGGATGACCCCTACTGAATGTATGGCGTGATGTCATCTTCTGTCCATTTCTCTCGGAGAGTGAAGAGGTGGTTGAAGCGCTCCAGCGTGTCCTCTGGGAGATCCTCCACCCGCAGCAGGCAGATGGTCTCTGGACGGGTGGTGCGGTCTACCAGGGCGACACTCTGAAAGATTTACAATGCCAGTGTCAGTAGTTCCTTAGGTCAGTAGGAATGAGAAGAGACAACAACAGCTGCAGCAAGTTTTATCCAAGGCTGGTTATTAGACTATACTTCATAATGACTCCGTCTGCATCAGAGGGAGGTGGGAGCTGAATCCTTGTGGTAGGAGGAAATGCAAAGTGTCTTGAAATAGAAATAAATCAATGCGATAAGAAGAAGAGTCTGGTGATTTTTGACTCCTAGGAGCTCTTTGATTTTGGTTACATACTGTATTGGATTTCTAACTTTGAAGTCACTGTGGACATACTGTTTCATTAACAGGAAGGAAAGCTTCTCAAAAACATAAACACATGAAACTGCATCTTTAAAGATGAAGACTGACAGATTGTGACTATGATCTCAGGGCTCCCTGTTATCTTGCTGAAGCAATTCTTCAGCCAGGAGTATACAGTACTTATAATGTACCTGCAACACATAGAAAACATTAAACTCCAGCACCCCTCTTCTACTCAGAATGCATTACATAAAAAGCGGTACTGTCTAACCTTTAGCTGGTCCAGTCTAGTGCTCATACCCTCTGGAACGCTCTGCTGCCAAACTTCCTGAAACTCCCTCAGGTTGAACTTGACAGCGTTCTGCAGCAGCAGTAGCGCCATGCCCCGACACACCTTATCCTCATGTAGTGCATAAAAAACTTTATCTGTATAGAGAAAGGAGGGTACAGAGATGTCAGTACTATGTGGTTTGAGCATGTGTAGTATTCTACTACAAATTTGCTAATGGAAACTTGATAGTTTAAGACGGTTTCTCTTTACCGTTTTCAGTATAGCGTCTTCCATAGCAGTTCAAACAGTGCTCGATCATCTCCCTGTGAAAGAAAGAAGAGAAGCTATGGGAAACTGTCTGAGCATCTATTTTAAGACTTATCTAGCCTTATAACAGATGCTCAGACAATTAGTATAAGCTTATTGGTTATGTTATTTGTGTAGTTTCTTTAGTTCCTAAGCTTCAACACCAATAAAAATCAACTAGACTAACTGAAATGACAACTAGCTTAAACTGTCGATATTTTGCTTTTCCTGTTGCATGAGCATATGGATCGTGGACGTTAACGTACTTGGGTTCCAGTGGAGCTAACTCTTCCAGACTGGTCTGAAGGGGAACCTTGTTGAAGGCCCACGACTCAGAATCCACCAGCTGAGTCACATGACCGAGCAGCTTCATCTCGTAGTCAAAGTCCAGCATGCGCCAGTAGCCTGGAAGGCAGAAAGGATTCTCTTGCTAAACATCTGGTAGGCATTTATTTATTTGTTATTTATATTAGTAAGAATAGATAAGATTATAGAGCTTCTATTTACAAAAGCATCGTCCTGGCACTACATTGTCAATGATTTTGTACCTATTTTCAGCAAAAGCAACTTTAACAATGAATATGCATGTAGTTGTTTATTAAAAAATGGCAGTGTTTACCATCTATATGACAGGCATGGATGAGCTCTAATTGGGTCTTTATCTCCTCTTCACTGGCCTGGATCCTCTCCAACAGATCCTGCATTGTGTACTGGTAACAGAGGAGCACAGAAAACCAGCTACAATAACATTTAAAAGAGGGGGGACACAGTAACAGTGAAACATTCAAAATGTAACCACCATCTTAGGCAGCCATACTCAAATTTACAGTTTAAAAACCATTAACGTCTAATAAAGAGGAGACAAACCATGTACAGATATCGACATAGAAGCCCCACACTCTTTCACCAGATGCATTACATGATACAGTCATTTACTGCTGCACTGATAGTTCACTTAAGATAAATCAATTGTAATATTCGAATGTATTTAGCATGCAAACCTTTCTTGAAACCAGTTGTACTTTTATATAAACCAGTCTTTTCTACAGCGTTTGAAGGGATAATGAACGTAGAAGCTGCTACTGCAGGAAAGATGGTAGATCATCACTTTTATCAAGGCTTCTGCTTTTACACTTAATCTCAGCAGACAGCCTACATGGTGTGTATATTATACCATGGGTGCTACTGAAAGAGTACAGACTTAACATTGATGCCCTCTTCCTATATACACAGTCCTGTCAACACAGGATATTATGATTAATGACTTCAATGTAGATTTATTTACCCTGTTTTCTGTACTCTCCTCCTGTCCCACTAAAGCAGGTCCTTCATAAGGATTCTCCATTAAAAGCTTTTTCAGTTTCTTCAGTTTAGGACGTTGTTTCCTCAGTTCCCAGTAGCTGTTGCAAAATCCCCAGATCTGCAACAGACGTAGGACACTGTTAGTGTATGTGTTTCATAAAGGCAATTAACCATTATGTGAAGGTTGTGACTGCCTGTGTGTAGTGCTGGGCAATAAAACAACAATGATAGTTATTGCTATATAATTTCCCTCAATATATTACACATACAATATAATAAATGTTCAATATATCGTCAATAAATATTTGGTTTAATTCATTTGAATTACGAACAAATTAGCACTTAATTTTTCTATTAAAATATTTATTTTGTTGAAGAAAGTGGGACTGAAAAAAGATTTACTAATCATATTTGTTGAAAAATATTTTATCATAATAGTTTTGATTGTTCTACCTCAGATTTGTGAAGTGATCCACTGTTTGGCATCAAGTGTTTGTCACGTTCTGACCATAAAGAAAACTAACCAAATAATTAACCATCTGGTTTCTTCAATTTTCACTCAGGAGCAAAAATCAGCCTTTAAACTTGAAAGAAATAATGATTTGATGTACATCGTGGTAATTATCAATATCGAATGATATAAAATGTTTTTCTAGAGATTTTAAATAGCCTCTCAAGGAGTAGAGCGGGGGTGGATGTATGCCAGATATTTAGTGATAGGATGAATGACAAGTATAGTGACTATTTGGTCATATTCACTGATGGGTCTAAAGACCCGGAGTCTGGACAAGCTGGATCTGCTTTCAGTGTACCAAAGATGGGAGTAAAAATGCAGAAGAGACTCTCTGATAATTTATCAGTATTCACCGTGGAGTTGGTGTCTGTTTGGTTGGCATTGCAGTGGGTAGAGAAAGTTAAACCAGCAAAAGTTGTCAAGTTGCTCAGACTCTAGTGCATTTCTGAAGAGTATGCAATCGTTTAAGTCACAAGCAAGTAGTAGTATACAGTACTTCATAGTACATGAAGTAATTGAACTTTACTCACAGATATGTCAGATGGGGGTAAGGGTAAAGTTTACATGGGTTCCAGCACATGTGGGGGTGATTGGTAATTTATTCATTTAGCTGACGCTTTTATCCAAAGCGACTTACAATTGCTATACATGTCAGAGGTCGCACAACAAGGGGTTAAGTGTCTTACTCAGTGACACAATGGTGGATGTCTCACAGAGGGAATTGAACCCAGGTCTCCCACACCAAAGGCAAGCATCTTATCTATGCTTGCCTTTGCCTTGCCTTTGCCTTGCCTTGCCTTTGCCATCACCACCCCATGATAGATAGATTGGCAAAACAAGCCAGTAAACGGGAAGCTGTTGAAATAGCAATTTCAATAAGTAAAGCAGAAGCCAAAGCACAAATCAGGTCAAAAATTAATAAAAAGTGGAGAAAGGGACGCATTTATATAACATTCAACAAAAGGTTGGGACAGAAAGGATCACTGAAAGGAAACAAAGGGAGGAAATCATCTTCACTAGGTTAAGAATAGGACACTGTGGGTTAAATAAGTACTTATGTATTATATTTACGTATTATGGGTAAGCACATATCAGGTAGGTGTGAATTTTGTGATAATATTGAATCTGTGGAACATGTGATTTTTGAGTCTCAGAAATATGAGAGGGAAAGGGCAAAGATGAGAGAGGGGATAAGAAGGTTAGGGGGGCAAGGGAATTCCCTTAGGGAAGTGCTGGAGAAGTCATTAAATGATATGAGTACACTGTTATTTTGATTCTTAAAGGAAACAAGACTGGAAGAAAGGATATAGGTAAAAAAATTTGTTTGTTTATTTGTTTCAGTTTTTGTTTTGATGATTTATTTATCTATCTCCGGCCCACACTCCAGTACAGTAGGTGGCAGTAATGCAATAATGTTCGATGCCAACCGCAACAACAAAGAAGAAGAAGAAGAAGAAGACTTTTTGGCCATATCGTCTAGCCATACCTGTGTGTGTGTGTGTGTGTGTCATTTCTATACCTGAGTGTGTGTCACATGAGAGCTGTCCTGGCTGTTGGTCAGCTGGTCTGGAGTTCTGCATCCTGGTACAAACAGCAACAGGTTGGATGTGTCTGCAATTTTTAGATCATAGGTCTTGTCAGCACTACAGAGAACCGCACGCTCATCCTTATCCCCTCGAATCACCAGACTGGAAAAAGAGAAAATGATTGTGAGTTACAATTTATACATCAATTACATATGTCTGCATTCATCCTGATTATGCATCTCGTGCTACTACACTGCAGGTCAGTTTTAATTATCTCCGACCACACATGAATCATTTGTGTCCAACAAGAGGAAAGAAGAGACAGTCACTTCTAGATGATGTTCTCACCAGGTTTTAAATGACTGAATACAGGAACATTACTTCGCATCATTAAAGTCTCACCTCTGCCCGGCTTCAATTTGTTTGCACAGCGTGTCGTCCAGCTCCATCAGGCAGTAGTCTGCAGATGATACGTTTTCCCCAAAAGACAGACAGTGAATAGTTTTCTGCAGATCCTCCTCTTTCAGCTTGGCGATCTGCAGAGTGGCCTGAACCTCCTCTAAAGTTCTCATTTTGGGTCAGACGTCGGTCTTAAATAGATAATGTTTTGATGGATAAACCCCGTTTTTGACTCGCGAAACAAACTAAACTTTTCAAAGGCATAAACTCAGTCAACACTAATGTTATTTTGTAGCAATACTCGACGACTGTCAAATTTCCCCGCGTTCTCTCTGTCGTGGGAAGGAAGTGCGGTAACTAAGTTGAGGTGCGACGTCAAAATAGGGTCGGGTAGAAACTATTACGCGATAGAAATGTGAATAAATGCGAAAATTAGTTTCTTTCAGCATATATTTAAATGTTGTCGTTAAAATAAACTAAGAACCAACACGAGAGTTACCATTTTTCTACTAATATAGATAAACCTGTAACCACAGACTGTATGGAAATATTGAAGTCTCACATCTTGTTTCAATCGAGTGAAATTACCAAACGAACCACCTCTCACGTTAAGGGTCAAATGTTTTGAGGATGTGCTGGTAGTGCCTTCGAAATGTCAAGTTTCTCCAGATCTGCCCAGGTAACCATACACGTTATACTGTTATCCTATTTTTATCTCACAATTTGAGCGTTTTGTACGATTAGGTTTTGGTTTATGTATGTTACGTCAGTCACAGTTAGCTGTTAGCTAAGGAGCTAACCACGGTGTATGTGATGTGGTTATAATAACGGTAAACGTAGGTAATAGAAATAAGTGCAGACTGCCCTTAGCAACTGAGAAATACTCGAGTCAAATTTGTTGTATCCTCACTATAACTTAACGTTACTGTTTGCAAGAAGTGTTATAACCCCTAAGACCAATATTTATGTCTCTTGTCAGCATTTTCACATAAGTTATAGTCTTAACAACCCTGTCAGATTTTTCTAGCTTTAAGCATTGTTTTGAGATATTAGTTAGAACAGAGTTCTTCTAACTGTTTTATACTTATCCTATTCATAACTGTGTGTGTGTGTGTGTGTGTGTGTGTGTGGACACGGTGCAGTTGATGAAATCTTACCACTAATTTTAACACTCAAGAAAATAACAAAGAAATCAAGGATTTAATTGTAAATTTTAAAATTACTAAGCAGACCATACCAGAATAGACTGTCCTAACCTTTTTTTGACACATTGAAATTATATGTTTCGTTAAAATAATAAGTTTAGGCTTATTGGTGCTTTTACACAGTATGGATGTTATCTGTTATACTGTATGCTGCGCAGAGGAGGCGTTAGCTGACACTAGGGCTGCAACTAACCATTATTTTCATTGTTGAGTAATCTGTGGATTATTTTCTTGATTAATGGATTAGTTGTTTTGTCTTTAAAATTGTTGACGCCCTTAAATGTTTTGTTTTGTCCACAACCCAAATATATTCAGTTTACTGTCATAGGAGTAAAGAAACCTAGAAACAAGTTTACTTCTACTTTGACATGTCAGCATGTCTTTTGTGAAAAGGCCTATTGTTAGAAAATGCAGGTCTCTTTTGTTTCTACTGCCATTAAACCTGTGATGGTCAGTTTATTTAACACTTCTGTTTTTTCTTCTTTCAGCAATGGGCGACCTTCGCTCGATCCTGGTTCCTGATCGATGCCAGGATGCAGCCTCCTGGGAAGATCGCAACCATGTGTTCTGTGAGATTACAGGGGAAACACAAGCCTATCTACCACGCACTAAGTAAGTAGGGGTATAGTCTGTCACAAAACACACATATAAAGTCATGAGCAGCTTTCTAACTTTAACATAACCCCTGTGCTGGGCGTAAACTACATTTTTTTCAGACACCCCAATCCACCCATAGTTTAAGCTTGTTGTGGCATGGAACGGCCACATGATGGCAGTAGATGATACTGTATGAATATTTTGCTTGCTTCTTACTGATAAGTGACATTCTCAGAATAGTCTTTGTTTTTTGGAAGATCAGTCTTTGTTGGTCTAGTAAACTAGCTGTTGTTATCATTGGCATACAAGCTGTGTCTGTACCTGTCTGTCTCTCTGTTAAATAGTCAAGTATTTATTGTCATAGTTTTGAACATAGCAATAAGCCTGAAAACAAACACCTTGAACATCTTTGCAGGTGATTGTGGTGACCATGTTGTAGTAATAAACACCAGAAACATAGCATTCTCTGGAAACAAATGGGAGCAGAAAGTCTACTCGTCACACACAGGGTAAGTCCAAACAACATGATAATTTACTTTCCCCCTCTCTTTTTCTTCCGTGCTTGTAAACCTCTCAGAAAAATCTTTCAAGAAAAGCATTTCTCAGTGTCTCTGTAGCCTCTTGTCACGTTCATACTTGAGAGGCAATGACCCACTTTCTTTGACACCACAGGGTTTCATGGGTTTTTATTTTGGACTCATATTTGTACGGTTTCCACTGTATAGTGCCTAATGCATGAAAAATTGAGATTGGGGGTGGTTTTGCTTGTAATAGGACAAATGCACTCAGTGAGGTCAGCATTAGATGCTGTCTCCTTAGACTGCTAAAAAGTCTTTAATACAATTTCTTCTATAAAGCAGTCTTTGTTTCAAAGAGAAAAACAATTTGATTAGAATTACAGATTAAAAAAACAGAATGCGCTTTAATATAATTATCACTAAAAGTAGAAGATATTAATCAATGAAATCAATCAAATTAATTAATGTCTCGTATCCAGTCGTAGGAAAAAGTATGCGAACCCTGCAGATCAGACCTTAAGAACGGTCAGGAGGAATTTTGGACCTTTCCTCTTTACAAAACTGTTTCAGTTCAGCGATATTCATGAGATGTGTGGTGTGAATCACTCTCTTGAGGTCATGCCTAAGCATCACAATCAGGTTGAGGTCAGGACTCTGACTGGGCCACTCCAGAAGGTGTATTTTCTTCTGCTGAAGCCTATATGTTGTTGATTTACTTCTGTGTTTTGGGTCATTTTCCTGTTGCATCACCCATCTCCTGTTGAGCTTCAATTGACGGACAGATGGCCTTACATTCTCCTGCAAAATGTCATGATAAACTTTGGAATAAATTTTTTCTGTCAATGATAGCAACCCTTCCAGGCCCAGAGGCAGCAAAGCAGCCCCAAATCTGATGCCCCCTCCACCATACCTCACAGTTGGGATAAGGTTTCAATGTTGGTGTGCTGTGCCTTTTTTCCTCCACACATAGGGTTGTGTGTTCCTTCCAAACAACTCAACTTTGGTTTCATCAATCCACAGAATATTTTGCCAATAGTGCTGTGGAACATCTAGGTGCTCTTCTGCAAACTTGCAATGATTATTTGGACAGCAGTGGCTTCCTCCGTAGTGTCCTCTTGGGAACTCCATTCTTGTTTAGTGTTTGACTTATCATCGAGTTGTCAACAGAGATGTTAGCATGTTCCAGAGATTTCTGTAAGTCTTCAGCTGACAGTTTGTCTTACCGTGGACTGATGAACTTCAAGGCTTGTAGAGATACTTCTGTAACACTTTTTAGCTTCATGCAAGTCAACAATTCTCAATCTTAGGTCTTCTGAGAGGTATTGGTGTGTGTCTTTTATAGGACAGGGCAGCTTTAACCAAAACCTCCAATATCATCTCATTGATTGGTTAGAAGATATTAGCCTAGGGGTTCACAAACTTTTCCCAACCTGCACCGTGAATGTTTATGTGGTGTGTTATAAACATTTAATAAATAAAAACATTTAATTGTTTGTGTGGTATTAGTTTAAGCAGACTGTGTTTCTCTGTGGGTGCAACTTAGATGAAGTTCAGATCACATTTTATGACCAATCTATGCTCTCTCTCTCTCTCGATAGATAGATAGATAGATGGATAGATAGATATATGCTCACTGGTTGACCAATCTATTCAGTTTAGTTCGTTATACACTTGGACTGACTTTCCTTGTCCCCCCCAAAGGTATCCAGGTGGATTCAAACAGCTCACAGCTGCCCAGCTGCACCAAAAAGACCCCAAAGCTGTAAGTGTCTCTCAATTAGTATTCTCCAGTTTTTAATTATTATTTACAGAAAATTCTGAAATCTCAGTAGAGAAACTAGAAAACTAGAAAATATTCTCATGCCGCGTAACTTACGCCATGAATATAACACTGTATGTATGATTTAATCCACATTCTTGGAGATTAGTCAAATTGTCATGTCTGCCACATGCTGTGCAGAGCAGGTGTTTGGTGGTTTGACATTTATCCCTTCACATGTGGTGCTCGTGCATATTAATGTGAAGTGCAGAGAACAGGGATTTTATGACAGTGGATTTGTGCTGGTGGTGTTTGGTGCGTTCTGAAACTCTGTATGAAAATGTATGTTAAAGGATAATTCCTGGGGTTTTGGTCGTGATGCATAATCATGGTTTCAGGGTTAGACACACACAGTGATAATTGCATTCAGAACTTGATGTGACCTACATGCTGTGCTTTACAAACCACTGTCAGTGACTTCTTTGTTACAAAACATCGAGGCTTTGTCACAAGAGAGAGAAACAACTCATGAGCTTAAAGGATAAGTCTGGCAATGTTGTGTATTTTTCTTATTGTCAAAAAATACCATGAAAAATTAAAACAAACAATGAATTAAAAATACAGAGGGGTATTTCCTATGTTGCTAACATCCGATGTTGCTTATTCTTATGTGCCATTGTCTTTCAATGTTGTCTTAAAACTATTATATTTATTGAGGGACATTGTCCTCCAGTATGATAAACTATGCTATAGTTAATAAGTCAACCCCACACACACCGTCCTGCTGCCTTAAATTATAATAAAAACACCAAGGTGATGTCCTGAAATGTCGTCTTTTGTCCACAACCCAAATGTATTCAGTTTACTGGCATAGAGGAGTAAAGAAACTAGAAAATATTCACATAACTTACGCCATGAATATAACACTGTATGTATGATTTAATCCACATTCTTGGAGATTAGTCAAATTGTCATCTCTGCCACATGCTGTGCAGAGCAGGTATTTTCATTGATTAATCTGTAGATTATATTCTTGATTAATCAATTAGTTGTTTTGAGAAGCTAAAATCAGATAATTTATTTTTTTTAAAAAGGGCTCAAAGCGATTAATCGATTATCAAAGTAGTTGGCGATTAATTTACTAGTTGAAAACTTATCGATTAATTAACCAATCGTTCCAGCTCTGTGACCTGGTGATATTAAAATGCAAACCTTCAGTAGCAATGAATAGGCTTGGGGTTGAGCGCCACGGTAGGGAATTCAGAAATCAGTTTTCATGAGCTTTGTAAAATTGACATATAATTAAAATAAGACATGCCTTATCTTTCAAACTGGAGTAATGTTGTAAAGCGTTGTTGCCATTTACTTTTAGATGTATTTTAATATTTTGACTGACATCTCACAGTCACAGTGGGCTCAGGGTGGCTCATATTCACTAACACATTGTGTTAGGTTTGTTTTTACTACAGACATGGATATGGTATTCATTTTTAAAACGGGGACCATGATCTGAACAAGTCTTCACATGCATTGTGCGTTATATCAAGTTCTTGTCTATTGCTTCATTTTAACATTTGACTGACCCTTTCCCAGCTCGATTTGCATTGAACAACATGCATAAATCCTATTCAGACTAATCGGAAGAACACGGGGTGTTTAAACCCTATACAGAAAGGATTTGTTTCCTCGTGTGGTTAGTGTAGGTATATATATATATATATATATATATATATATATATATATATATATATATATATATATATATATATATATATATATAATATATATATATATATATATATATATATATATATATATATATATATATATATATATATATATATATATATATATATTATATATATATATTATATATATATATATATATTATATATATATATATATATATATATATATATATATATATATATATATATATAATACACACACACACACACACACTCTTGTCATGTGGGACTCACTAAAAGTAGGTGAATGACCTGTACTGGTTTTCACTCTGTAGTTTACAAAAGCAGGAGAAACATTTCCTCTGCTGTTGGTGCTTTGCTGATGCAGGTTTTTTGTCCAGTTGGTGACCACAGCCGTGTGTCCTGATGGTGGTTTAGTTAAAATGAGGTTTTGAGGGTTGGCAAGCAAAGAGGGAGAAATAGAATTGGACAGATGAATGATTTGTCAGCCCTGCCTCTATCCAACATCTCTGTCCAATATTTCTGTCCAATGTCTCAGTCCAGTAACTTTCTCCAAGTCGAATTTGTCTGACTGGCCTCATATTGAGAAACATCATGTAGTTTCTCAATATGTAAGAAATGTATATTGATATAAAGAATGAACAGTTGCTATAGACACTTGATGAGCAGATTGCACATCAACCTTTTCAATTCTTCTCAACAGATTGTAAAGTTAGCGGTTTACGGCATGCTGCCCAGGAATCTGCACCGACGCACCATGATGCAGCGATTGCACATCTTTCCTGATGACGTAAGTCCAGTTTCTCCTCATTTCTCTGAGCTGATGAGTCTTTAGACAGCCCCTCTTACCCCTTAATCATCCAGGCTTATTAAGGACAATCAGAAAGAGGGCACTTTATGAGAAGTGGTGCACTGACATCATTATGCAGATACTTACACAAAAGAATGAGGCAGTTTTAATCATCCTTCATCCAGGTCACCTTTATAACTAATATCAGTTAATTACTAGAAAATTAATATATGTAGTTCACTGTAACTGTTGCCTTTGATGGAGTCCTTTTCTTTACATACATTTTCTCAGTAGGTATGTGCGTTTGAGTGGACAATAATGTGGGGTTTTAGTGTTTCACACTGGTTGTGAGGTTGCTTCAGCAGCACTTTCACTCTTTCTCAGTCTTGTATAACATACAGCTGTATTGGTTAATATTTTTATATTAACATTGGGTCAAATGACAGTGTCACTTTTTGTGTCAACTCTGCAATTCTCCTCATTTCTATGAAGCAGTTTAGTGTCTTTAGTGTTTTGGTTCACTCTCACAGCTCTTGTCAGATTGACAGCAGCAGGCAGCTAGTTACAACTGGCTACAACTGTACACTACCTGCTCAGCACCAAACTGCAGAAAGACAAAGTGGGCAAATAGCTGGTGAACATAATGGAGTGTTTAGCTGCTAAAGAGCCAGATATTTTGCTCAGGAGTTGGTTG